AAATATTTTATAAATAGATCAGAATTATACATATATTATTATATACATATGCTGTGGTATAATTGTACAATGGCACAAATATAACCTAAAATTACTTGGTCCAAAAAACGTAAAAAAATAAAGTGATCATATAAGCCTATCTAAACAAAAAAGTTATGTTTGCATATTTGTTATTTGATTAGAAAACAATCTGTTTTTAAATATTTGTCTATATATACACCTTACTTTTAATATTTTTAAAGACCATTAACGACTTAACGATTTCGCTTAAAATTCTTATAATAAACTTATTAAAATTCTTATAATAAATGTTTATTATATAAATAGAATAAACAAACGTCTAGTAAAAGTACATACGTTTCTAAGGAATTTAATTTTCAAAATAGTGTATACTATTAATTAATCGATCATTTGTGCAAATACAAATTATAATTACAAAAGAAGTTTTTTCGAACAGTAGTGAACAACAACAACAAAAATTTATTTTTATATTATTTGAATTAATTATGATTATAATTAATTAAAATTATATTATAATTATATAATTAAAAATTATTATTATTTAATTAACAATAAATACATGATTATTAAGATTATTCCAAGTACATTTGTATTGCAACTTTATAATTTAGGTATAAAGTTGATTGAGTAACAAACATATAAGTTTTTCGAATTAAATGGTACTTACTGTCATTTTTGCTATTAAGGCATCAATTCCAATAACGTGATATCGTTTATCAGGATTTTCTTTAACATGATTAAGAGTCCAGTGAGTTTTGCCAGCTCCTGGTAAACCAACAAGTAATATAACTTCACATTCTTTGCGACTATCAGGCCTCTGAGGACCGGAAATATAGTTTTCCTCTGGGATAAGTGCTATTAGCTCATAATCTGGTAATAAGAGCACCGGATCGCGAGGTTCTGGTAATACTTCTTCATATTCATCCTCAGATATCTCACTTTGATTTGATTTATCTTTTTCTTTATCTTTGTCTTCAACTTTTGCTCGTTTAGTTGGTGAAGGTCCATCATCTTTATCTTCTTCCGATTTTATTTTTTCTGAATTTTCTGATTCTTCAATTTTATTATTATCACCATCATTTACAGGAGTAGAGACTACAGCAACAGAGTTAGAATTATTTTCACCATCTGTTAAATGAAATATATTAATTAGAGCATTCAAATCAAGTGAAATGATTACTTTTCTTACCGAAATCTTCAGTATTTTTATTATCCTTATTTATTTCAACTTCCATATTAGTGATAACTTCTGTAGTTTCTGTAGAAATAACATCTGTTTTTTCATCACTTTCTATTTCTGTTTGTTTGTCTTTATTAGTTCCATTTAGTTTTTCAGCTTCATCCATTTTTTCTTCGTCGTGAACTTCGCTATTCTCAGCATTGTCATTTAAAGTAGATTTACGTATCTTACGACGCATGCGCGTTGGACGTACAACATTAGCCAAAAGGTTTTCATTATCAGCGAAATTAACATGAAATTCATAACCTTTTGTTACAATATGTGGAAAGAGAGCATTACTTTCGCCTAAAATCGTTTTATCAAACTCAAACGCAACACCAAGATCTTCCCCATTTAATGTATACTTTATTGTGCATGGTGTACTTTCCAAATCTAAATAGCATCCAATGACATCATCTAATTTATAAGGTTTACTGTAATCGGTAAAGTCAGAGTTTACAGCTTTGCGTCCAGTTTCACAATAAGCAAACGAATTTTCTTCTTCTCCAAGAATAAGACTTGAGTGTGGCATCGAAAAACCAACACGAAATCCTCGCACATGGGGTTCATTACGAAATTGATGAGAACGATTCATAACTATTTCTTCAGCAAGACGCACTTCAAAGCAAACTTTTCCTTCACGAACCCCATAATTAGTACGTACTCCTGACCAAACCAGTGAATAAATTTCATGTGTCATAGGTTTTGCTGATGTGAAAGTAACTGGATCAATGCGCAGATGTAAGTCCGAATCATCTATAAAAAAAAAAAAAAAAAAAAACTATACATAATTATTTTTAACTAAATTAAATGTTTACTTACACCAACTTAAACCAAATTGCTTATCCTCAGTTGTAGGCTCATCTTCAAGATTGGTGATTTCTTCTGCTTTAATAGGACTTGCATTAGGGCTTTCCTCACTACGGCGTTTTGGAGAGCGCGAACGGGTTCGTGAATGCGATCTAGAATGATCACGCGATCGTTTTCTTGACTGAGTTGGGTCACGCTCCATAGATTTTTTTTCTTTAATTTCATGTGAAGGAATATTTTCTTTGATCTCATGTGAAGAAATATCTTTTTTAATTTCATCTGAAGTTACATTTTCTTCAATTTCTGCAGCAGTATTTTCTTCCTCATGTTCTTTAGGTTTCTCAGTACCCACTTCTTGTTCATTAGTTCCTTCCATGTTGTCACTTAAAATGGTCTCTTCTACTCTATCGTTAGTGTTGTTATCGTGCATTTCACTATCTTCGTCGTCATTGACATTTTCAATTATTTGTTCTTCATTCATTTCAATATCATCAGTTTCCTCCACTTCATTACTTTCTTCTTCAACTTGCTCTGTAGTATAAGGTTCATCTTCTGGAGCTTCAGCCACCACATCTTCAATTGGGCTCTCAAATTCTTCTTCAGCATCAGAGTTAACAGCTGCAGAATTTGATTCTTCTTCTTCTAGAGGCTCCAACTGCTCAGTTACTTTTACTGGGGATGGTGAAGGTGATCGAGTCATTGATCTTGTACGTCGACTGCGTCTGCCCGGAGTACCTGGAGTGCCTGGGATCACACCTAACATAATAAATGCGTACAAATATAAATTGTAATTAGTTGAATCTTAGAATTTTACATTTTATGTATTCATACTTGTATTCATATACATAAAATACGAATCTCAACTTAAATAAATTAATACTAACTGTAAACTTTTCTGTCACACTTTTAATGCAAGTTATCTGTTTTACAGACGATGTTGGATAAATTAAAAAAATTATATTAAAATAACTTAGCTCAGTACTGTGCTCAACTAAACAAATAATTGATTCATTTTGTATTAGAGATCAATAATTGTTAATTCTTAATTCGCTTCTAAATTAATTTCTGCATATTACATATACATAATTCTAGTTTACCTCCTTCCCCGCTACCGCCGTCAATATGTGCACGAAGTCTTTCTATCAATACCGCTTTAACACCTTTGGTATCTAGGCCACGGGTTTGTAACTCGTTCCTTAAATCAACCACTTTCATTTTTTCCAACTTTGCAATATCCATCTCGAGGATATATATATTTTCGAGTACAACTCAATTATTTAAAAATATTTAAAGTTCATGAAAATTGAAAGTTGTATACCGCATTTACAACTAAAAACATACACGCCGTATAAGTTGTTAATCGATTTTATTTTACGAACTACTATATATGTCTTTTTGCACAAACTTTATATATGCATATATTTTATAAAATACTTTTCAGTTTTCATAGAATATTAACACGATATCGCATAATAAAAATGTATTTTATCTACCGCAAATCTTCTCCCGCCTATGAACATGGAAAATGAAAATGGCGACTACTTGATTAGGGTAAGCAAACAGTATTGCATTTGGTTAGAGTGGCGGGATTTTTATAGCACATGTTAAAACTAACATATCTCATAATATACGAAACATTAATTATTACATATGTACCACACATAATTTTAGCTTATTTCTTACTGTGAATATATTAATATTGACGACAATGATGTTTAGATCACTATTTATATTAACTATTTATTTGATACAATTCAATATTAAGAAATTTCTTAAATATCTTTTTAAATCAAAATGTAATTGATTTTCATTAACTGAATGAAAATAATTTTTTGATAATTTAATATGTGGAATAACAAATATAATTTATTATGAATTGATAACGAATGTGATGCTTATTAGACTTTCTATCACATATCAGTTTCATATCTTTTGTTTAATTTATATTACAGATTTTTTGAATACTTTCTTTGAGTTATTAGAACCGTCATTTTAATAAAAGTTCTGATAATGAGCATTATGTTTGTACCGCATAAGAGTTCCTGTCAATAATTAAACGGAACAAATTTATTATTCATATCTTATTCGCATATACATATGTGCAATACAGGAATAGTTATTTATTTATGTTATAGACGATATACGAAGATAGATATAAGTGCTATTAATTATAAGCGTTGAGTCTATATTTAATAACATGATATACAAAAACTTATATAATAAATAAATGATACTACTACTATTGTCCAGAAAATGGCTACTAGATGCTGAAATATGTGTGCTGTAGGTTTACAGTATACAATACATATTTCAGCGTCGTGAAAATAATTATATTGACATAAAATGCATTACTAAAAGACTTCTAACATCATTCAGTACATATTTATCTCAAGCTAAATGCAACACTGTCATTATAATATATACATAAAAATTAAAGTTAGTGTTACCATATCTTTCAAATTATAGACAATTGCTTTACATTATATAAAAATTAAACTTACTATGCGTATATTACGCATAACAAAAAGCAATATATTCATTGTTAAACTTGTTGTAAATAACTTTTGTTATTTACATTTCTTTTTAAAATTATTTATATTGATTGAGTGTACACCACTGGTGCTCAAACCATAGAATACTTGTATAGGAATTCACTGACTCATACTAAACGAAGATAATTTGTATAGGTGAAAATGTTGTATGCGGTAGAAGTACAATTAAAAAATAATTTTTGTTAACAATTTTATTTCCTAATCCTATAAAATATTGCATGTAAAAATAAACATGTAAATTTTTAATGAATATTTAGAGTATATTATGGACGTGTGCGAGTTAGGCTAAGTTGATACTAAACCAAATGGGAAATTTTTTGGGATTTTTTGCACTGCACACATTTAGCCATTTATCAACACGTATCGACACATCGCTATATTATCGGCACAACTTAGAATTTCCCTCATTTAGAACGCAACTTAGCCTAACTCGCATATGTCCTATAACTACTGCAAAAACTCTTTTTTCTGTTCTCATAGTCAATCATGCATGTTAACATAAAATCGCACTTCTTTACTATGACAAAATTCCTTACCTTATACCCTGTATATAAATATGAACATGTAGTGTACTCACAGATTCAGAAGTCGAACAAAATAAATAAGTTCCTAATTAGGCAGTGTGCGAATTCGAATAAATTGAGGTAAAGTGAATTATATCTTTTGAACTGCACTTATATAAATATCTATTTATTTATTGCACTTACTTATTATTTTTGGTTAAAAGTTTTCAAATTTATTTACTTATTTATTTTATTATTAAACAGCTTATAAAATTTTCACATTGGTAATATCTAATTTACCTAATTTTTATCTAATTTACCCTACCAATATAATTTACTATTTCCCTTAATTTATTATACATTTAGTGAAACTCGCACACGGCTTTAATACTGCCACTATAGTTTCTTTATCGAAGTTGATACACATACATGGAAGTTGCTACAAGTTCATAACTCGTAAGACAAAAAAGGGAAATAGAAAACAATTTTACAAACAGAACTGCATTCATACCACTGCTATATGATGACGAAACGGCACAAATTATAGCGTAAGATGACTCATTGTGTCTTGAAGTAACAGTTGCGCCTGATAGAGTTCCTCGAAAATCTGCCATCGCAGGACACAACACAGAAATATCTACTTTAAGTTCCTTAACATCGTCCACAATTGCACACACTTCACGTACCGCAAAAAGACAAACAAAGCAACAGAAATACTTTGATAAGTATTTTGATTTGCAATATTTGTAGTATACTATATGAACTCTCTACTACATTGAAAGGTCTCACTTGAAAAGATTGTTGAACGGTGCTATATATCGAATAAAAAAACATTTATGCAAGATATATATTTATGTACAACTGAAGGTGCTACGTGGAAAAAATTGTCTACTTCACTTTAAGTAGTTTTGTCACCTGCAAATCTGCAAGATGAGTTGTATCTAAAAATTATTAATACATATTTAAAAATATATAATAAGCACCACAAAAAAATAAGGTATTGCTTTTCAGAAATCTATAATAAGCACCACAAAAAAATAAGGCATTGCTTCCAATCCTTTCGACAATAGAGATTATTAAAAGAAACAATATAAAATTTAAATTACAATCTTTATTGAAATATCTTTTTAAACAACAAATTATTATTTAGGCGTGCATATAATGACTATAATAGAGTAAATATATATATATCTATATATATATATATATTTATTATTTACTGAACACTTAAACATTTGATTAAGTTTGAACAATTTAAATTTTATCTATAAATATTTTAGAAATAAATTATGCTGTATATAAATTTAAGCATAAAATACAAAATGTAAACGTACATAAATAATATTATTTATTTTGATTGTAAATTCCCTAAACATGTTGTCAGCATCATATTCAATATTTCGTTTTTTATGTTTAAATGTTAATATAGGTATATGTGTATATTATACAATATATAACTTAGACTAAAACTTATTTAAATGCGATGCACCAAACTGGTGTTTCAATTTATATCAAATGTGAATTTAGTAAAATTTAGAAATCAAATTTCATAAAGAATAAATAAATTAACCCGACACCGTTGAAAACATTGTGCAACAATTTTATTAATTAATAATTTTAATTAATTTTAGATTATGTAAAAAACTAAAAACTAAATAAAGATATAATAGAGTAAAGGCAACGTTCGAATGTATGTATAACTTTTTACAATACAATATATAAAAAAAATTTTTATCGTTGTTTTTTTTAGCAATATATGTGATATTATTATACAATGTTATAACGAATTTTTTTTTAAATTAATTTGGGAAAAAATTTTATAATTATTTGGACCCATAAATTACTTTTAACAGTTTTCACACTTTTCCTAGTTCTAAATAACAATTTTTGCATTGTATCTTCACTAACATTGTATGTTTATCCAAAAATATTTAATATCAAATTTACATTTAAGTACAATTCATTTCACAACAAATATTTTGATATCTTCTCTTTATAATCTCAATATTTTAAGCTGAATAATGTTTTATATATGTATGAATGCTCTTATAAGTGTATAAATTCTTTAAATATTTTTTATTTTTTATAAATAGTTTTATTGGAATGTAATCATGTAGTTTTTAATCATGTTGAATAAAGCTTAATATGCTATAATTTTTGTTGTTTAGTTTACTTGCTATTAACCAAATTTAAGAACTCTTCCCGGGTTTTAGGATCATCTCTGAATACTCCTAACATCGTAGATGTTACAGTTTTACTGTTGATTTTTTGTACTCCGCGCATAACCATACACATATGTCTGTAAAATATAGATCAGTTAGTGTGATACTAATTGTTAATATATAAAATTATATACAAAACAAGTTTCAATCCTAATCATAATAATAATAGATATGTTCCACGAGCTACTCGTAGTAAAACTCAAATAAAACACAAGTAAAGTACAAACTGAGAGCGTTACACAAACAGAGTGCCAAATTACGCTCTTTACACAGTTTTCATGGAACAGTTTTGTGTGAACTCTGGTGAGAACACCAGTGCCGCGCAAATAAACAATACAAAAATTTAAATTTAAATCAAAACAACTGATTCACACATCAACACAAATTTTATTTGAAATAAAATGTACGAGTAAATTCTGTGTAACATTTTCAAATTTCGACAGGGATGTTACGATCTCTAAGATGCTCTCAATTACTCGAAAATTTGCTGGTGAAACGCACTTGATAACTGGTACTTGTTACTCTAAGCAAAGAACCATATGGGGAGGTCAATAAGAAAAGAAAAGAAAGATTATTGAATAATGGAATTCCTTAAGTGTGATGGACCAATCACGATTATGATAGAAAATCATGTTCGAAAATCATGAAAAGCATGTTCTGATAGAAAATTAGATATTGAACAGTACTTGAATCGGTATGGAATGTCGTTTTTGTTTTTGATTATTTGATGGAATGAAGTTTTTTTGTTTTTGTTGTTATTCGTCTTTTATGTGGAGAATTTTAAGTTCTTTACCCACTCTGCCACACATCTTGGCTATTATATACCTAAGGATATCGATATATCTAGATTTCTGAGGAACCTAGTTCTTTAGGCAATAAGAAATGTAAGTATTTGGCATTTTCAAGAAGTGTTTGTCAATCGATTTTTGTAGGATGTATTTATAAAGTTGAATTTAATTTGAAAACAAGTATAGTTAGCTGAAGTATTTGGTCTTTATAAACTCTAGTTAGACAAATCTAAGAAGCTAGAATAGAATAACATGTATTTAATAAAAAATGATGTAAAATATAGTTCACACTTACACTCCTTCAACAACAACAGCCACACCAGCCGGTTGTACAGCTTGCGTTACGGCGACTGCAATTTGCTTGGTTAAACGTTCCTGCACTTGCAAGCGCCTTGAAAATATTTCCACAATTCTGTAAAATAAAAATTTATTATTGTTGTACTTATATAAAAAATTTTAAAGTAAAAACAAAAGTAAAATATATTACCTGGCCAATTTGCTTAAGCCCAAAATTTTATTGCATGGCAAATACCCAATGGAAACTTTACCATAAAATGGCACCAAGTGATGTTCGCACATAGAAAACATTTCAATATCCTTAACAACCACCATCTCATCGTGATCTTCATCAAATACTGCACCATTAAGCACATCTAAAATTATTTTAAAAAAATTGAATATTTAATAAAAAATTCTGCATTATGGTAAATAATTACATTTTAAATGATTGTAAAAATATTACTAATAAATAATAACATTTAGCAGAAGTTGTGAAAACCCCCAGGAAAAAGAAACCATAATACATTTTCTCTGTGAATGCCCGGTTTTGGTGTGCAGGAAGATACTTCTTTGATAGTTTATCAGACTATTCATAGGTAAAGACGAAAGACCTATTAAATTATCTAAATTCAGGGGTGGATTTAGTCTCTACTCTTCTATACTAGGGTTCTTGCGAGGAAGGTGATAGCAAAACGGCGAAAAATCGCTAATGGAGGTATATGGAAGTTATCTAATGGCCTGCCACTTTAACCAACCAACCATAACTTTTAAATCATCTATTAATATTATTAATCAACTAAAAATGCTAAAGAAGGTGTTAATTGGACTGTTGAATTAATTTCGAGGAATATAAATACACTTATTTACATAAAAAAAAATTTATTCAATTAAAGAAAGTATATATACGTTCATTTAAAAATTTCTTTCATTAAAATTTTTTTTTCAATAGATTGACTAAAATGTATTTACAATTAAAAAATAGAAAAATTTATAGTGGCGCCAATTTAAATAAGTAGAATTCTCGACATCAAACGTTTCATTTATCTTGTAGCAATAATAGTAATGGACTAAGAATTTTTCCTATTCATCACAAATTCAAATACGTTAATATATTTTGCTGGTATCTTAAGAACGAATACAAATAAAAATAGCATAAATACAAAAATGTGAGAAAAAGAATAGAATAAGCATAATGAAGTTAGTCCATTATTACGCCATTCATCCTTAAAGTATGCAACAAAGTCGAAAGCATTCTAAGAAATCACTTCACTAGGACATTTGAGCACGTAAGCACAGCATACGTCGGGGTCGGGGTTGCAAAATGAAAATACTGTAAAAGCTTTAGCTACTCAACATTCTTCAAGTGTGAATGTATGCGTTTGACATTTGAAGTTCACAGTTAATTTTATTGCACCCATTTTAACAATGGCGAAAGTCGACAACCGGAAAGTCGTATTGTATAATTCTGTGGGTGTAAAAATATGTTAGTAGGTTTCTACTATGCATCAATAAATGTATGTTAGCGGTAGATACACAACGGAGAGCAACTTGTTACTTTTCTTCTATGAGAAATGTGAACGTTTAAATGTGTAATCAATAAATTCTGCTGCGGAGACAGAATATTTTTTCAAATGTATTTATTAATTCAGTATTTATTATATAATAGTTTATGATTTAATGTCAAAGGATTAAGAATAGAATTTAAAACAAATAATTGTCTATATAATTGTATTCAATGCTCCAGCGAAAAAGGTGTTTGAAGCAGTAATCTCTCTAGACGTAGAGATAGACCGTGTCTCCGGTGGTGTTCTCAAGTTGAGGGAGTACTAACTGAATTTGATGTACGAGAATGAAGAACGAGAAAGTAAGTAATAGTATTCGTTGGGAATGTAAGAATGTAATTTCTTTTTTGAAAACACGGGATCGATATTAACATTGCTTGTACCACAAAAATAAGTGGTGGGAAGTTTGTAATTGTTATTGATAATAATTAGTTTGTGACTTTTTGAGAACAATTTGGTTTTCTCTAGAAATGTCTTAGGTCTTATGGAATCTACACATCTTCTTGGTAAATAGTTTTAAGTGATCTATAATTCTCATTAGATACGTATAGTATGTATATATTTTTTGAATATCATTACTTTAAATGGCTATGAATACAAATATCATTCACAACACGTACTCTCTAACTTTATAAAGGTGCAATTGTTGTGGTTGTTGTTGCAATCTGGTAGGACCTAATGCAAGAAACATAAATGAATTTTGAGATGAATATATGGGTTAGGAAAAAGTGTGAAATGGGTTGACGGTAAAAGGAGAAAATAATGGTCATTTGGGATGAGAGAAGGTTGGTAAAAAGCTATTCTTCCCAAATCATTTCAATTGGGACTAAGCATAAATCTATAAGATTGATAGAAGCATATGTATTTG